TACTTGGGTTTTTGTTGCTGTTTGATCTGGAAAGGGTCCTGGATTGATTAGGTAGCCATTTACCTTCTGAGTACAACTTATGTTTAAGTAGGGTTAGAAGCATTAGGAAAATATTCTACAGATTAGTCAGGTCAACAATAAAACGGTAGCCACCATGGCCATTATTGTTCATGGAGGAAGTATAGGCAGCTTGAGGTCTAGTGTGGGCTTTGGTAAAAGGTACAGGTCATACAGACATCTTTCCACAGTTCTGCCACTATTCCTTATGGACTATGGCAAAAATGATTTAAAAGTTGTAGAGAACATTCAAGAAGAATGAGTTGTTCTGGAAAAAAAGAACCTAGCAGCTGCTCACCAGACCTTAGTTGTTATTTTAAGTTAAAATATTTCTACATTAACACCAGATCCCCTTAAGATCGGTTGCTAAGTATGTTTGGATAACAGAGGAAAAGAGAAAAGCATGGAGGAAGAGAATATTTGAAGGTGACATTCCATTCTAGTTCTAGCACATCTGCAGTGGCACCCGAATGTTGCAGAAAGAATTATTTAAGACTGGTGGGATGGTGGTGTTAGACTTCTATCCCCAATCTGGTGCTGAAAAATCAATCTGCTCTCCAGATTTTTTTTGCCTTAAAAAGAACCCTTTATATTTATAGCTCTTCACTGTGCCATAAAACAAAGAATGTAAATAAATAAGATGAGGATGGGAGTTGCAAGCAAAGACATTTTCTAAGAGGAAATACAGCAGCCTGTGGTCCAGCTCACATTTTGAACGGAAAGATGTGAAGTCACAGATGAGACAGATTTCTAAGTCAAATTAAAATGCACAGTGATATGTGTAGGTGCTGAGAGCCACAGCAGTAGAATTCTGGAAGAGTCTGAGAGCTTATGTACAGTCTAGGTTTTGGAGGTCAAGACTCAACTGAGATGCAGAGGATGCTCTGAGCACAAGATATCTGAAAAACTCTCCCAAGGGTGAGGGGGGCTTTCAATGGGGATCTTACGTTTCCATAACTCTTTAACCTACTGGGTCCTCTTAATTTAACACATCACTTGTCAGTTTATTTCTTAACTATGCTTTCAATGAAAGAATAAAAGTAGAATATGATCTCTAAAAACTGGTAGCCTCATTTCTAATACCACAGTGCCACTGAATGCTTTTGCCTCTACAACTTAACAAACTGTAGGTATGAGTAGGGGGATCCAGGCACCTGTCTATAGTTTGACTGCATTGCACACATTTTGACTGAAAAGTCTTTGCTCTTGCAGTGTGACTACACAGCCCTCTCCCACTTCTGTTGAATTCCACCTCCTCTACACTAGCAAAGCATTAGCACATGGGCACTTCTTCCTAGTGTCTACAATACAGTTTAAACACACATCCTCTCCCAATTCTTTTTTTTAAAAATGTTTGTCAGTAGAATAGTTTCTACTCACACTGAGGTTTTATTCTACAATAAAAATGTCAGTGAAATGAATGAATTGCTACTAATACATTTCAACAGCGAAGCTAACACTTATCTCTCCATACTATCAGTTCCCCCCAGCTCTTAAAGAAACACTATTCTACTTCCTAACATTGTAGTTGTGACTTTGAAATCTTGAGTAGAACTTTGTGGATGATTTCGTGCAACTGAACTGTTCACTACAGAATAATTAAGATGGTGAACTTTTGCTATTCAGATTCTACCACAATTTATATGTTAGAAAAATATATGAAAACGTATTACATTGTACTACATTTGCTATTGGGGGAAAATTAGTGGCGTCAACACCTGATGGATGAGCAAAGTGTACTCAGATGACAACAGTCTTGCAGGTTATTTATGTGTTCTGTGGAAAGCGCAAATGTAGCATGGCTACAGAGATGAGGGTGATGGTAAAACTGACCTCCATGAGTAGAGATGAGACTGGAAGAGGGTAGGGATGTGTTGTAGAGCTGTGGAGAAGTGCCACGTGGGCATGGCTGAGACGATGCATAAACATTGAGACTGCTATGAGCGAAGATATTCTGGGCAGAAGAATAGACATAGTAAAAGGATCCAACTTTGATGAACCCTTTAAAGATCTGTCTTGGGGAAGGATAAAATACACGGAGAAATGATGTTACTGAGTTACAGCAATATCGTGATGCAGTGTGTCTGAGAAGCAAGCTGGGAAAGATCCAGCTCAGGAGGCGATGATGAACTACATATGGCTTTTGGACAGGGGTCTTCTGGGAACTTCAAGATTAAAACAAGCAGCCAAGGGGCAGGAAGGATGGAGAAAGAAAGAAATTTAAATCAAGAAAATCAGAAAGCTCCAATTAGGGTTGGAACAAAATACAACAATTGGAATCTAAACAAAGGAGGGCAAAGAAAGAAGGGAAAGGCAGGAGACACATCAAAGGATACATGTGTTAAATAAGTGAATACGCATGCACTGGTCATGACTCAGATGGTGAAAGCCAGAGCTGGATTCCTGGTCAACCCTGAATGATGCAGTCTATTGCAATGACCAAATATTATGTCAGGAAGTCAAGCAGTGTCAGGTGCTGATAAATACCTTGTAAGCACTGGGTGGGGATTCGGGTGGGATAAATACTTTGAGTATCTGATAATGCAGCAGCCATTCACAAAACAAAGATAGAGATTTAAATTTGGGACCCATCTGACCTAAGTGATAAATGAATCTGTGGAAGTGAATAAGTTGATCAAGGACAGGACACAGGAAAATATCACTGGTACCTGGGAGGAATAAGAAGAATGATCAGAGAGACAAGAATAGTTTGGAAAATGTGCCATTTGGAAGACAGGGAATAGAGCCTCAGAAAGATAGAGGGAGGGATGGAGTTGTCTAGAGAATCTGAGGTGGAGGCAGGCAGAGGTGAGGCAGATGGGTCTGCTGACATGTGAGGTAGCATAAGCTTCAGTGTGGTGAAGCTTAACTGACTGGACCCCAGAGGGATGCTCAGGCAGGAAGAGGCTGATCATTTCTGTGTCACCTTGATAGTAGAGCCAGCAATGTTGACTGTACGGCTCTTGGTGCTGCTACTGGCATTTCTTTTTAATGAGCTCAATGTATCACTGTATGCTCTCTCAGTGGTGAAATAAATCTCACTGAAACAACTGTGCAAAAGGAGCTATGTACAAACAGCACCAGAACGCTAATGTATGAAAACTTAAGTCTGATCCCTTTCTGCATCCTGGCACGGGTCCCAGCATTTCTAGTAAAGTAGTCAATATTGAAATTACTGTTTTTCAGGGCAATATACGAACCACAGCCATGAACGACAATTAGGCAAATATCACGAGACTGTTAACTAAATGGTCCTCTGAGTACACCAATATCAACACTGCTTTTATCAGAAACTAAATCCACATACAGATGTGTCTGTCTCTTGACTTTCTATTCTGTTCTATTTTGCTGGTGTTTAGTTGGGCCTACCTTGATTTTATGGGCTACTTAGAAATTTTTCATTTTTATAATAGTCAATGCACTATAAAGAGGTTTTGTAAGCTTTATTCTATATCTCTCAGTGAAGGATCGCTACTTTTCATACAGGTTCTAAAGCTGACTTTTAACAAATTATAACAATTTCTTTTTTGAGTTACTCCTGTCAATGGTATTACCACATGCATTGAAGTGTGTATGTGTATGTACATGTGCATGTGTGCATGTGTATATGTGTGAGTGGATGTGTGCCTATGTGTATGTGTTTGTGTATACATACATGTGCATGTGTACATGTGTTCATGTGTATATGTATGAGTGGATATATGCCTATATGTATGTGTTTGTGTACACATACATGTGCATGTGTTCATGTGTATATGTGTGAGTGAATATGTACCTATGTGTATGTGTTTATATACACATACATGTACATGATTGCATGTGCATATGCATGAGTATGTATATATGTATATACATATATGTATATGTGTATTGTACATGTACATGTGTGTGTGCAGATGTATGTGACAGATGTAGATGTCTTCCCAGAAGAACAGGAAACATTTTCAAGAAACAACCTACAGCAAATTCAAGTTTACAAACCCCGATCCTGATAAGCTTATAGAATCAGAGGATAATACTATTTTAGTAAATAAACATAAATCTTATTTGTTTTTGCCATGTAGTGCCAGTATGATGCTTCTTATAGGAGAAGCACTATGACTATTTACTATATAAATGTGTTAAGTACTCAGCCATCCCTGGTCACTCCCAGTAGGAGGTTCCTTCTGGAACTTTCTACCAAATCCCCCTTATTTTCAGCCCTGTGCTGGAATTCATGATCATGCTTTAGATTCTTACTATTCTGGGAAACTAGGAAAAAGTACTCACAGCAGAAAGGCCCCGATGGAATATCACACTCATTATGGAGACAAGTGTTTTCACATAGTTGTGAGTCACAGAGATTGCATAAAGTCCTTTCAAATGATCTAGTTTGAATAACCTATTTAACAAAAGTGCTAGAGAGGGAATAAGCAAAGATTTCTTCCAAATGTCCAGAGAGAAATGTTTTAGGTTCTGCAAGCCATATGGTACCAGCTCCAGCAATTTATCTCTGTTTTTGTAGTTGTATAAACATCATGGATAATACAAAAGGACCCTAGCTGTGCTCCAACAATGTTTATTAAATGGTCATGCTGTGAGCTAAGCTTAGTTCTCTAGTCTTATTTTCTAGTTCCCTACAATAGATCAATAAACTTCCAAATCACTATTTACATTTATAAAAAAGTCAATAGCAGCACACTCAACTCTATAGAAGGAAGACCCAAGAGATGCATAGTACTGAAATGAACAAAGTGTAGAAAAGTCACCAGTGTGACTTCTTGCCAACTCCCTGGCATTGGTTCCGAGCATGACCAACTTTTCCTTGGCTCAGGGAACAAGTGGGATTGTAGTTCCTGATAAACATATATCTGACATTGTTCCATGGCCACTGCTATGGGAAGAATAGGTAGTCTAAAGGAAAACCATCACCATTTATCATAGCAGTATATGCTCTAACTTACCAATCTTGTACAGCATTGAAGGATTCTTCATTTGTGATGTCATACATTAAAATGAAGCCCATGGCCCCTCGATAATAGGCTGTGGTGATGGTCCTGTATCTTTCCTGGCCTGCTGTGTCCTATAAAACAAAACAGTGATGCCATTTCATAAATGAGGCAAATACATTGAGGAAGAGATTGGTAATCTCCAGAGCAGTCACAAAAGCATAGAAAAAGGTGTGTACGATATACAAATGTCTTTCCTTCCTAGCTTTATTTTTCCTTTATTTCTACTGATGTTCACATGTCAGTTCTGCAGCACTCTGAGGAATTCCTTCCTTCTTTCCTTCTTTCCTTCTTTCCTTCTTTCCTTCTTTCCTTCTTTCCTTCTTTCCTTCCTTCCTTCCTTCCTTCCTTCCTTCCTTCCTTCCTTCCATCTTCTTTCTTTTATGAATAAATACCAACTAGCATAAAGCTGAAGAAAAGAAATGATTATATATCCTGAAATTAGTGGCTCTTGACATACTTTAAAGCTAGAGGGATGCCTTGATCCCATCACTATGCCTTTATGTCTGTCTATGAATATCATCAGCTGGTGTAAGGACAAAAGGAACATGTTACGATTTTAAGGAGGTTACCGTTCAATGTCAGCTTAATCAGCTGTAAGAAGACAATGAAATGGCTTCTTGAATACATGAGTTGGATGAGCAAATGTGGGCTTGTGAGAGAGCTTCCTGCTTCTCTATTATGTGGTTGGCCATCATGGACAAGTATCTAACCTTTGCAAATCAAACCATTCTAAAGCTAAGCAAAGGTGTTGAGGTTCCCGAGCTTCTCATACAGCACAGGATAAAAACAAGAGCTGAAAAAGGTATTATTCCTGAGATGTCAGAGCTAATTTAAGAGTGTATATAAGAGACAAAAACAAATCCAGGGAGTCATTTCTGCAAAAGACATGACATGTGGCAGTGAAATCAGAACTCCAAGACACACAAATCACCTAAAGAACTCTGCTAACTATTATAAATTTGAAGAACTGGTTCTGCAGTTCACCTTCTGCCTCATTGGAATGCACATTCCAATGATTGGAATGCAATGATTGGAAGCATCATTTCTATGCACATACACTTTGGCTTTCCTCTTTACCACTCTCTTTGGAGACTGCATTCTATGTTCTTCTGCCATTACAGGTTTAGGGAAGAGAGGTCCTACGAGGCTGGGGTCAGAGAGTGAGCATCAGGGCAATGAGAACTGACTTAGCCAAGAGTGTGACTTCACAAAGCCAACAAGAACACATGCTTCTCTGGAGAAGGATAAGACTGGCCCAAGTAAAGATCCTATTAGAGAAAATAAGAGTTTGGAGATGGGATAAAACAAATTTGAATGTTCAAATGCACAACAATTAAGGAAACATTGTGATGAAGCTTTTAGAACACACTTTCAGTAGCAGAAGACAACAGAAAAGAAAAACATAATGGGAAATATGTTTGTACTGTGCCAGAGAAAACAAAGATTACTATCTTTAATAAGAAAAGTAATATTAAAATCATTAGGAAAATGTATATTCAAATTGTAAGTGACTAATTAGTAAGAATTCACATTCTAACCATAATAATAGGAGAATGAAAACTCCCCAATTACATTCTAATATAATAAGGGTTTCTTGAAAATTATGCAAACATTTTATTGTGTTTTGCTTAATATTTTATAAATATTATGAAAATGTGGATGCCTAGGATATTAACTGTATATAATTGGAGCAAATATAGAAACTGATTGAACAGAAAGAAGGTAATATTGAGTCATTTTATGTGTTCTCAGAAAACTATGAACTTAATTTAGTTAACAGTATATATATAGCCACAAAACAAAGAAGAGAACATGTATATAACTCCAGAGCCAAATTCCCAGTGAGCATGCTTAAAACAGCAAGGAATAGTCAAGGATATGGTAGAATGATGTGTCCCTCTGGGGAGCAGAACCTCTTGTTACTAGTCAGATTATTTAAAACCTTTTCCACCTTCTTCCTGACTCCGTATTGTTCAGAACATATTGTGTATAAATGTAGCTCATCCTTAACCTCATCTACTTTTAACAGCTTTCTTTTCTTTTTTTGGCATAGATTGAATATCACTGGTGTAGGCTGAAAGTGCCATGCCTGCTCTCTTCTCTGCACAACACAAAGGTCTTCTCTCATTTGTCATAGTAGAAAACTTTGAAATACTGGAGACACTGAGAACGGTGATCAAGACCCCTGCCAACCATGTTTCCAACCCAGCCAGCTGATAAATATGATGAAAAACTGTAGGTTTAACCCTCCTGACATTTCTCGTCATCATGTCTCCTTTTCACAGGATGTTAATTTTATTGTGATGGTAAATCCAATTATTGTAGTTTTCTAAAATGTATCAATTTCACATTGTTGTCATCATTTTAATCAATGAGTGAGAGAGTAAAACTCATGATTCCATTGTAGTGTAATTGAAATGTTACAGAAAGATGTTGAAACCACAGGGTTGAGTCACCATTACATATCAAAATTTGGGAAGTGACAGACAGAGAAACAGCTTTCAAGAAAATAAGAGATAACAAAAGACAAAAAGAGGAAGAAAGAAGCTTTCAGAGAAGATTTCTCCACCATCACTGTGACAGAATGCAGGAAAACAAGCCAATGGAAAGTATTTTTCATTAAAGCATTCAGAGAGGACAATAAATTGTACCAAAGTAAGCAAGTGTAAGAAGCACAAAAGGAAAATTACAAATTTTTACCCAATAAAAGAACTATTTTAAGCAGAACACCATTGTCCAAGAAATTAAAAAGATCGAAATCGTGAAAATATTTGCAAAGCTCCAGGCATTATAATGATTTGAAACTGTGATGGAGACAGTTTATTGAGAAATTTGATTTAGTGACAGTTATGGATGGACTACCTTGAAATTTTCTTCCCAGGCTCTGTGAATGTGACCTTATTTGAGAAAATGGTCTTTATAAATGCAGTCAAACATATGTGATGTCATACAAGATTAGGTAGCTTTTACTCCCATGACTAACATCTTCATAACATGAGAAGACAAGGGGGCTGGAGAGATGGCTTATTCATTTAAGTAGATATACTGCTTTTACAGAGGACCTGTTGAGTTCCTCATACCCATGTTGCACAGCTCAAAAATGCCTAGAACTCTAGCTCCAGGGAGGTATGACAGCTCTGACCTCTGCACACACTTGCATTTGTGTGCACATTCCACACCCACCACACACCCACCACACACCCACCACACACCCACCACACCCACCCACCACACACCCACCACACACCCACCACACACCCACCACACACCCACCACACACCCACCCACCCCCCACACACACACATTGTTAAAATGATTAAAAGATATTAAAACAAGAATTGCAGGCACTGTCTAGAGACCACAGGACAGTCAGGGAAGATTGTCTCTTCTAAACTGCTGAGAGCAAGGCCATGCCTGCCCTGAAAGGTCAGATTTGCAGCCTCTAGAAGTGGGAGACGTTAGCCCACTCCATTTTGTAAAATGTCAGTAGGCTGCACTGGGAAATGAACGCAGCCACTGATCCCAATTTCCCATCTTTGTGAGCAATGTGAAGGCAATATAAATTTCACAGTTATCTACACAACATTGAAGTTACTGCAGAGAAGAATCAAAGACAACTAAAGGTAGCCTTACAGAGAAGTCGAGATATAGTCTCCCTGTGACACCAGGAAAGATATGCTGCTAAAATACAGTACCATATTCTACTTAGATAAAATTAGTCATTTAAAGAGATGATTTGATATGTCCTGCTCTTGACAAAATACTGGACTAGTTACCTACCTACCTATTCTAGTAATTATGTCCTATTAGAAGATGGGACAATATTATTTGATTGGACAAAAATTACGTGTTCCTTCACATTAGCAACTTATTCCCAAATGATTGAGACACTGTTTAACAGTAAACAGTTAATGTCATAGCTGTGGACACTGAAGGACACAGCTCCCTCAAATAGCAAGATAACGATTTCACATCTCTCTCTGTGATATGCTACTGTCACCAAGTTGTAGTTAATTTTTCATTCCTACAAATAGGCGTGAAGCAGCATTCGGTTTAATCTTATGAAAATAGCAAACAATAGTAGGAGTCTTAAATATTTTATGCTTTCTTGCTGCATACTTATTTGGGGAATGAAATATGAACTGTTCCTTTATCACAGTTAGTCATCAGTCAAAATAAAATTTGCAAACCACTTCCCCTCCCTGACCTTGTGCAAACAATCAGTGTGAATCGATTCACACACACTTCGTTATGTGTACATCTGTAAAGGGAACCCACAGTTTAGAAAGGAACGGTAATAAACTAGCCTCTAAACGTGTATTTAATCAATCTAAGTGTTCTCTTAACCTACTGTGGGGGATCTTATTGATCAGATTTTGCTTGCTATAATGTTTAGCTCTGAAATACCAAAACCTTCATTTTACAATGGCATCTACATCAAAGTAAAGCCTAATAAATTCAGCCCAGGGCAGAAGGATAAAACTTGACCTATTATTTCATGGTAGTGTTGCCATGGCAATTCATCTTTCCTGGCAGAGAGGAACAGCCATATATAACTCTTTTGCAGGGGGGTCTTTGACTCTGCTGTCAGTAATACCCTGACATAGCTCCCTATTCCATCTTTCTGCTTATGGAACTAGGAGATTTTTTTTTAGTAAGCATGCCTCAAATACTCATACAAACTCACTCTATGATTTTAATAAAATTTACAACCCAAACTATATAAAGGCATTTTTTTCTCATTCCATCAAAGGATTTTGTTTTTGTCTTGTCTTTCTATGATCATTTACTACAAAGACAGGGAGACTCTAGTTTTACTTTGTTTCTTAATTAATCTTTTTGACATACTTCTTCCCAGTGGGATTTTGATTATATTCATTTTTTTTTGAAATTCTGAGGCATAAATACATAAATGCAGGCAATTTTGAGCTCTCAGTCAAGGTAGCGGATTCTCCTTCACAGAACATAGAATAAAAGGCTAGCACCAGATTAAATGCTTACAGAGTAATGGGCTTTTATGTGACACTGTTACCTTAATTTGGCACTAAGATGCAAAGCGACTCCTCACAGA